CTACTATAGTCTTGGCAGCAATCAGGAAAACATGACAATTTGTCACAAGTCATCCATTGAATTTTACCTCAGTTTTGTTCCAATCCACTTACAGAAGCTGCTGCTCTTGGGTTATTCTTCTTAAGAACGAAAAAGACAAATAAAACACCACCACAGCATTGATTTCAGACTGGCTGAAGATGCAAATGGGTTAGAAGCATGATCAATAATGTTACAAAAATCTTATAGATAGCAACTGGTGAGACTGAAATCAGAAACCATATAGGTTACTTTTGCAGTAAGACTAAGATTATCAGGGCGTTCTACGTAACTRAAGACTTGGCCTTGATCATTTACTCATGTGCACTTTATGTTTATTAAAGTTTATTTAGAAATAAGGACACAGCTTGTGATCCTTGATCCCTCTGTAGTTAAATCTCCTGCTGGATACCCTACTGGACTCTCAATTATCAGTAACATTTATAAAAAGATCAAAACTTTTCCTTTACAAAGCTGTTTCCCACTTTCTTCTTCTTGCCTGGATACTAGCAACAGTTGTGCTTAAGCTAAGTGGTTGATTTAAACTATTTCATTAATAAACAAGGAAATTAAAAAATGAATCAGACACATCACAAGTGCAATAAGAATTGCTTAAAAATAAACCTCAGTTTTATTATTTATTTATAGTAATATTAATGTTTGTTTTCTACCAGCATGACCATCGATGGTCTCAGTATTTTCAATGCAGCACTGGCAACAGCTAGAAAGTACTTGATAGTGCAGTTGAAATTTTGACTTTTGTTGCTCAAAATCTTTGAGTTTTATAAAGGATGAAGATAGAGAGGTCATTGCAAGCATTTAACAAAAAATAAAACTTAAGCTCCTTACTTCCTGCCTCCCATTTACAAAATACTTGTGCAACTTTCCAGTTCCACCCTGACCCTGGCAGCAAASAGCAATGCAGATTTGACTCTCTGGGATTCCTGAATACACAAAATCCCAGGCAAATAAAGAATCGGATATGAACTGCTGTCCTTAAACCTGTGCCCACAGGAGATGCCAAATCAATAGGTCAGCAAAGTACAAGAAAGGGATGCAGGAAAAGCCAGTTTTATACTTTATCTAGTACATGTACATCAGTACAGATGCTCCCAGCTGTGGTCTGTGGCAGGCAACTGTCCAGCCACACGGACTTCCTTCTCACACACCCTGCAGCAAAAGGTGCCCGGGGTAATTAAAGCAAGCAGAGGACTTTTAGAGATCCCCTTTTCCACAGAAACAGTATCTACAGACGTGCTGGAGATACTGTGTAAAATATGAGCACAAACCAGAGCCAAAGTCACCTATAAGAGCAACAGTCAGAAGAAATCAGAGATCCTGATGCCAGCCAAATTACTTGTGTAATCTTGACCCATGTTTGTGAACAAGTCAGGAGGAGTTTTCTGTTGATAAAAAAATAAAATAAAAGAACACTCATAAAACACTCATAAAAATCATGACTGCTGACTGCAGCTCTCACGATCATCTCTGCATTAAAATCACATTTGTATCACAAAGCTGAGGACCACTCCTTGAGCAGGGAGAGGTCAAACCGCTTATGTGAGCGCCAGCAGACATTGCCAACAACTTCCCCATTCCAGCACTCCGCCGCTTTTACAGCGGCTATGATTGACGTCTCACCAAGATATCCATGGAACGAGGAAGTGGGTTCACACGTCTACCTCAGATGGGCACCACGGTGCTGGCCCACACACACTGCAAGGTAACACTGTGTTTTATAGTGGCAATCAGGTGCTGACAGTCATGCAAACCCAACAGTTATTTGASCCTAAACCCTGGCATGAAGTACACRGTGAAGCCTGTGGATCTACGGGGAGAACTTCATGTCCTACCTCCGCGTCAACTGCGAGGCCTCAAGACTGCCCTGCGACGTGCACAGAAACAGGGCCATTCAGCCACATGAAACACAGGAAACATGAAGATGTGGGGAAGAGACAACAGTTCTCAAGGGGAAAGTCAATAAAAGAGATAGTGGCCGGTCACTTGCAGAGCTTGTGCTTGGGCCCAAACCTGCTGCTGCCATGCTTAGCTCCAGTTCCTGGCAGCCTCTCTGACCAGGAAAGGCCCAGAGATCACTTAGACACAATAATTACAAAAACACAACAGTTATTATTACTACAAGAAGCGTTTTCCAGCTTCTCCKCTTTGATCTTTACATTGACTCCTGCAAGAGGACGCAGTCTCCTCATTACAGCTGGTGACCTCCAACAGCCTGCAAGCTCAGCAGAGGCAGAACTGCCAGGTTTTATACAGAAAGGGCAAATAAAAGTGCAAACTACCTAAGGAAGCAGATTGGGAGACTCTGGAGGTGGCCATCCAGAATGAATCCAGATGGAATTGAAGACCATAGTGATTCCTGTAGTTGTCCCAAGTGGAAATACCACCTGTACCATCACTCATAAAACCTTGCTCCCAGGCACGCAGGACACACAGGTTCCCAGAGCTCTTGCCCAAGCTGCAATCTTATTCATCTGGGCAATCTGGTAACCGTCAGATGGGATAAATCACACTCAGGCTCTGTAATTGGCTTCCAGGAACTGGAATTAGAGAAGTCATTTTTCTTTTCCCTCCTAAAAGTAGCTTAGCAATGCTGCTGATAAAAGCAAACACCAAATGATGCAACATTTTGCATTATTCTTACTCACTTGCAAAGTTTGCACTCTGCAAAGCACTTTGAAACTCATGCAAGATAAAAAAAAAAAAGAAATCAAGTGCTCCTTATTTTGCATCTGAACTGTTCGTTTACAAGAGGAACAAACCATAAAAGATGAACTGCAAAGGCCTCAAGTATGCAAGAGGTTAAAACTCAAAGTTCGCCCCCCCCCCCCCAAGTCATCACATTGAGGGAGATCCCCTAACATATTTCTCTCTCCTGGTGTTTATTTCACAGAGAGATATGGGGGAAAACACACAAGACTTTTTTTTTTTTTTTTGCAAACAAGCTCAAGGAGTGTGGATAAGGAATGACATGTCAACATCACTGTAAAAAAGGAATCTGGTCAGAGGTAGTAAAGTTCATTATGACAATGCCACAAGATTGTCTTCCTTCTGAAAAATAAAAGYGCCAGGAAGATAACTTCTTGTTTATGTTCTACTTGTACCTAGCAGCTCTCTCAGATGGGCACTGAGCTGTCAATTAACAATACAAGGAAAACGGAAACGGATCTCAAAATGTGCCCAGCACGTAAACTGAAAGCAAAGAGGAAGACTAAATATTTATTTTCCAAGGTTGCTGAGTGCTTCCTCCACCCTGCCTCATTTAATCTATCAACCTGTTATTTGAAAGGGATCCARTTTGCGTATACACCTTGCCAGAAGCGAGGAGGAAGACATACCAAGGAGCCACTGCAGTAGTAATAATGTGGTCATGAACTGATTTACATTTCAAAGAAATAATACACCAATTATTAATAACATATAATAATTGTGACCTTTCAGTGGGATAAATTTGACCTCAGTGTAGTTCTCACGACCATGTAGGGAACTTTTAAACTGAACCTATTACATATTACCCTACAATATTATGTACTAAATGTAAAAACAAAGAACATTGGGAAAATAAATTAAGCCAGAAAACTTAAGTGCAAATGAACCCCCAGATTTGGGACGCCATATGCTGTTCTAGAGACACCAGAATGATTTTATCCTCCTTTCTGCCATCCGTATGTTTCTAATCTGGCATCAACATCGTATATTTGTACATAAACTACATTCTCTTTCAATGACTCCTAACTTTAAATCAGAGTTTCTTCAAAGTCAATATGCTTTCAATATGCTTGTGATTTAAAATTTCAGGCTAAAATCAGTTTCACAGTAATACAAAGTATGGCAAGGAACGCTATTTTCTTATTTCACTCATTTTGTTTCAAGAACAATACTTAATACAGTAAGCACAGCATAAACTGTAACACAATGGAGTACAAACATCAAGCTGCTTATAGAAAAAATTAGGTAAGGTTTGAAAGCTTCCATGAGTTAAAGATCAAAATATTGTTATTAGATACAATACAGTTGCCRAGATATTGCTCTATCACCAGGGCTGCTAGTTTTCCCTTTGAGCATCATTTGCATACAGTCATTTTCTCCCAATTTTCCATCCCTGCACCCAGCTCTATCACAGTGTTAGTGAGATCTGTGGGCAGCCCATAGGCATAGGACGGTGCCACCAGCTAATTCTGCATTGAGTCCAGCGAGACAATATGGAAAGCAAACGGTTACAATCCTGGCTGGCAGCTTTGGCACAAGTTTAACACACGTGCACGCCCACCCCTACACAAATTCAGGCCTTATTTGACAGTCCCCATATTCTGCAACAAAGCTCCTATTGACGCTCGAGAGGAAGCTTGCTCCTTATTAATTCAGCCAGCCAGGTTACGAGCTTGCAGCGCACTGACGTCAACCGTGCCCTGCTGCACAAGTCGCAGCACATTCCAGTTGATCGCTATTTCCACTTGCTTCCTGACATGCTGAAATCCTTGAGCAGAAAAATATTACCACAGTGAGCGAGTCTGGCACACTAGGATGTCCTGTTTTCCACACAAGCAAGTTCCTTCTTAAGGCTCTCAACACATCAAGTTGCAAGAACATAGCCATTTACTTAAGCACTCTTTAGGGAGAAAATAAAATAAAAAGAGCAATTCCTGCACCAGGACCATTATGTGATGCCATTGCAGTTTGTCACAAAACTTCTTTTAAACCATCTACTTGAATGCTTGACAGTGAAGCTCTGTAACTCKTGGACTAGATGATCTCTAGAGGTCCCTTCCAACCTTGAATATTCTGTGAATATTCTGCAACTAACCTGAGCATTATCCCTGAGCATTTTACAGTGCAAGTGAAGGAATACAAACAAGGCATACGAGGAGCAAAGAGGAAAAGAGCAGAACCCTTCAACATGGGGATGGGAAACATTTTACGGGAATAGTAGGACAGAAGACAACAGTACAAAATCATTTACTCACATATAACGGAGCTTGCTGTGGATTAAGTTTCATGACCCCAGAACACTGAAACAAACAAAAAAAGACATATTTAAGGCATTTTTTCATAAAATTTTAAATACTTCTTTGTAAGCTGTAGAATGTTAAATTTGCAAAAACTTAATACCCATGTTCCTTTTATAACAGTCACTTTTATCACAAAAACTTTGTATTTTATATCTCCTTTGGATCAACAAAGGATCGTCCCAAATTTCTTTTCAGACTCATGTTAAACAAAGAGATCTTTGTAAAATGATTGGGACAGCAAAGCGCTCCTCTTAGCAGCTGGCAAGGTCGGCACAGAGCATACCCTCAACAAAACTAACTTCCTCTTCATGTTCATCTCAGTCCATCTTTCCTCGCTTGCTCTGTATCTTCTTTTTATGGCAGGTCCCAATCCTTAACTATTACCTGTCTGCTCATTCCCCCATCCCAACATCTGCATTTGAACACGGCCCATTAGGGAAAAACAGGCAAACAAGAACAAGCAAAATTATGCCTTGCAAATCTGATGGAGAAGCCTTCAGGGTAGGTAACATTCACTATTCTACTGAAGCATTTTGCACAGTCAAAAACTACCATCCTACCAAGGTGATTTAGTCAAGAAACTTTTCATTTTCACATCTACACTGGAATTTTTATACATTACTTGGAGAACATTATCTGCATTGAGCTTTGAATCAACCGAGTCAGGATTTCACTTATGTTACTTTTCAGCAGTGCAGGAGAAAATACTTATCCTAAATGAAAATTGTTAAGTTCTCATTCAATGCGTATATAACTGTCCAAGATTCTAAGATGAAGGAACGTGAAACAATTAAAAATGACATTTTTGTTCTTGCTCATATGTGCAGCACTGGTAATTCTCTGCAAGAACTTCAAATTCCTTTTAAAAGGATAAGAAATATCCCTCTGCTTTTCACACTGAAACACAGGCTCTTCTGCATACTTTGTTCCCCTCCAAACTCCACAGTTTGCCTTTAGTGAGACAGAAATAAACCACAGGCTAAGTTTTCTCAGTTGATTCCAGCTATTCTTTCCCCTGCATATGTTTCTCTTATTTTACACAAAGAAGCATTTTTGTCCCAGTTACTTTAAAACGTCTGAGCTACCTGCCAAGCTTGCTCATCAAAACCTCCAAAAAAGCTCCTAAACGGCAGGCAAAGGATAGATAAATATTCTCCTATAGTTTCTAAATCAAATTCATACCTATTTTCAACCTCCAAGTTCTTCCTCCAATAGCAAGAATGCCTCCAAATGTCTTTCCCTTCCTTCTGAGCTCTTACAGAGGGTCACTTAAGAGCTAGTGCTGCTAGGTGCCTGCTTCCACAGGCATTTGAACAGGCCAGATCTCCAATTCATCTGTGTTGCCAGTCCTTATTTCTGATTGTCCGCAAGGAGGTCCTGCTATTCTGTAACTACAGACCCCTCAAAGAGGAGGGGAAAAAAAAAAAAAAAAAAACCCAAAACCAAGCCCTGTTAATCTCACCTATAAGGTACCCAAACCTCCCGCTCCTATTCTGAACCTTGGCATTCTTGAACAGGGGAACCAAAAGATTATCAAGCTGGGAGCTTTACATTGTGTCTTAGAAAACTCAGAATAAACCAGGATATCCACCTCATATCTAGATTTTTACAAAAGAAATTTCTTGTCAACAAACCAGATTCCTCCCTGGAGCAGAATTATGCCTCAAAATCTGCCTCAGCACCTTGCCAGAGTGTGGGTGATGTGAATATTGCAGTATAGAAGCAAAATTGCTGTCCTGGATAAGACTGTTTAAAGGGAATTAATAAATAACATTACTTTTTCCACTGTTTCAAGTCTGGACAAGTACATGAACAGCCTTTCCTTTTGCTGATAAAACATATTACATTATGCATCTTCAAAGACACCCTATTTTTTTGTATTTGCATGTACTATTTGAATTACCTCTTTTCCTTACAATTCTCTCATCACTCTACACTACCAATACTACAACTGCCCTTCTGTAAAGGGAAGTGCAAGTTAAAGGATGTCAAATGAAAATAAATAAATAAAAATCAGGAAAGCAGAACACAACAGGTTTGTATCCACCCAGGACATCACAAGTAATGGATATATTCTGCTGTTCCAGTTTCTCTCCATTCCCAAATAATTAACTTTTTAAATTTTCCATCAGCTATTCCAGTTTCTCAGACTCTGCTGAGAGGAAAGGAAGTTATCCTAATGTACTCAAATACATTCCTCCTCCCTGCATTAACATCTTTGCTTCTTTCCTGTTCAAGTTCACAGGTGTTTTGTTGTCGCTCTTGTCGTTACAAAACTAGATTCTGTGACCCAAAATTGAATTACATCTACATTTACGCAAAATACTAAGATATTAAACATGCATACTCAGCAAGATCACACCTAGACTTCACAACAGTTTCCTTTGCTTAGACAAATCCATAGGGAATCAGCCAGCTTACCACCCTAAATATAGTATTCGCACCACTACCTCATCTGTCCTGTCCAAATTTGCTCTACTAAGTCATCAATTCAATTCTTCCAAAAAAATCCAACCCAAAGCCTTATGAAATAAAAAGGAAAGCCCTAATACAAGCCTGGGGTACGTGCCCAATGTCAGCACACTTGCAAAAAGTGGAAGCAGAATTGCAGTATTTAGTGTGTTCTGGACCAGTATAAGAGATGCTCTCTCAAATGATGTAGATCATAGAGGGAATACTCGGCCTTTTTACTCCAAGACCATGATCTGGACAGCATGTGAACTGATTTGGAGATAAAACTGAGAGGAAAAAGTCACAAATACAGATCCCATCTCCATGCTTGCTTTGAGGTCCTCAACTTCCTGGGGTTTGGGTTATAAAGAAAAATCACAGTTATTCTATTCTGCATATCTTCATGGACATGCCAGAGATGGTAAAGAGTGTATATAAGAGCTCCACATCTGAATTTTATGATAAACAGAAAAAAAAAATAAAAAATAGAGAAGCCAATTTTATGCCCATAGGGTACAGGTATCCTGCAGAGAACACACTGGCATATTCTGAAAAGGACAACTGCTTCAAACACTTAACCTCAAAATTCATTTATCCAGACCAAAAGAAAATGACAATGCCAGTCAGATGCCAGCCTGGAAGGTCCTCCCCAGATGCAATTTCTCATGGCACCTGAGGGGGCAACGAAATTAGTGTGAAAAACCCTCACTGTTGCAACTCCAAGCAGATGCCAGTGGCTGTGTGGGCAGGAGTGAGAAGCGGCTCCTGGCACCACGTGCGTGATACCCGTGGCTCCCGGCAATGAGCTCCATCACAGTCCTGCCGTCACGGAAACGGATTCTAGGAATCTGTCCGGCCTCCGCCGGTTAAGAGCCAACTTTTGGGGACCTTCCTGGTGCAATCAGAGCAGCTGTGCTCTGTGAGCAGTCTGTTAATGCAGGTCTGCTCTGGATCGGCCTACATTACCGTCCTGCGAATCCCCATGCTGAGCCACCATGGACTGAATTCAGCCGAGACAAATTCACACTTTTATCCTATTAATACAAATATCTATGGGCATATGTGGTGGTCTTCAGATGAAGGGTTGTCCCTTTCAGGAGCACATTTGTCTACTTTCCTACCTGCCATGGTCAAAGTAGCACTTTCTGCTCCTAAAATCTAGCTATTGCCAGGAAACAAGCAGCTGCATCTCCTCTTTCTCCAAACAACCTTACTGAGCGATAGTCTGACACTCATTATCCCATCACCTCACAAAAGAATTAAACTTTTCAAATAAAACTATTTGAAATTATTTATTTTCAAATTAAAGAAGAAAAACCACAGAAGATGCACAGAACAAGCTGGCTTAACACACATGACATCTCATGCGGGCCAGCCTAAGTGCATTCAAGCATGCACTCCCTAAGACCAGGAGCAGGATCAGCTTCAACTCTCAAATAAGCTTTCATCAGTGCTGAAAGAAACATACTGATTCGAGTGCAGAGTCTGTACTCTGTATTCACTGCAAAGACATTGCATTCACAGAGATCCTATATTCACTGAAAATGCCCTTTTCAGCAAGTAACCACCTCCCACCCCCCTCCCTGTGGATCCCATGGAGACTTGAAAGGGAGGACGTGGAGAAAGAGAGCTTAACTACTGGAAACAATAGCCCAAGTCAAGCCTACTGCCAGTATTGCACTGAGTAGGGAAATTAAATAGAAACACAAATGCTGCAGTCTTCTAATGTTGCAAGTCCCTGGACAAGAACATAGCTGCACACTACGTGGGTGCACCAGTGGGCATAGCTCCAATTGCTGCAAGCCAGCTATTTTATCAACACCATTCCATATATATCCCCGGCACCACTTGACATCTACTCAGCTAAAAACCCCTAGGACTGCCTTTGTAAAAACTAACTGGAGAAAACCAGATTTCCATCGTGTACCTGCCACGTATAACATGATTTGTGTTTTCACTCTGGAGAGCCAAGTCTTCTGGACAATCTCGTTAGTGTCATCTGTGTCAGCTGCCACTGCACATCCTCTAAGTCTATTGTTTTGCACTGCAATAAAAGCAGAGATTAACAAGAGGAAGGATGGTCTTCTCTAAATCCCTTTGTTGGAACATACACAAAGCGAACAAAGCAACTTCAGCTGACAAATTCATACTTTTTTCTTATGTGTACATACACCTGTAGGCATATTTGGAAGTCTCCAGCTACACAGTTCTCTTCAGCAGCAGTTGCCTGAACTAAAATATTCCAATTATTTCTGGTAAATAGCTGAATCTTTTGAATTTCAGTGCCTGAGAGGCTTACCACGTGCTTTACAGCAATCCAGATACTACCTTACAATGTTTCCAGAATTGGATGTAATTTTCCTCCCCTCCTAGGATAAGGCACTAAAATCCCTTGTCTTTGCAAATTTGAAAACAGCAGATGAAAACACAGTCCATGTTCAAGCTCTTAAAAGTAACAGTGATTTAGACATGATGAAGATTCCCAAAATCTCAGCCAGAATTAGGGCTCCATTGGTTGCAAGCTGCAAAAATGCAAACAAAGGTTCTGT